CAGTAGTAGTAGTAGTAGTAGTAGTAGTAGTAGTAGTAGTAGTAGTAGTAGTAGTAGTAGTAGTAGTAGTAGTAGTAGTAGTAGTAGTAGTAGTCCTATTATTGTATTTATTCTTTGCGATACTTAGGCTACTGTATAGCACTCAGTAACTTTTGTGGTGCACCGGTTAGGTTCTTAAATCGGCGTACACAGAGGAAATGGATTCCATTTACGAGTGAGTATACCTTTTAAAAAATTAGGAGGGGGGGTTAGCATACTTCGTCATTGCCCTCTTGGATTTTGTATCCCATTCACCCAGGAAGGCTCTGATAGACAGGGCTTAGGCAGGTCTATGGAACGCAAACTATATATAGTACTTTTCCATATAGCCCTATAATGTTTATGTCGAATCTGACGAAGTTTGCTGTATTCGAACATTATCTTCATTATTCAGAATACGGTTTACAATATAACAGGGTGAATAATTTTAATTAAATAACATAATTATCTCCATTTAAAAAAAAAAAAGGCTACATATATCACATTGTATGTCCATCGAAGTACAAGTATTGGGCAGCGTTGAAGACAAGTTTTCCTTGACATAACATGCACGGACACATTTCACAGAGATCTACCACACAACGCTATCCCATTCCTTGACCTATTTGTTTTATCTCTAGTAGCTAGGTCTACGGCCGGCGTGTAACTTGGTCTGGGTGAGAGGCGGCGACTACAAGAGTGTAGAAGCGATCAAAAACACAAGGTCTGACAAACCACTTAGTCAGCAATTCTACACTATGCCGTATTGTCAATGGGCTGATATGTGGCATCATATTATAGTGTACTCTTCTTTACATTTTAGCTTAGCCGATATTTATAAGGAATTTCAAAACACGAAAATACAAACGAGTGTGTAATATATCAACTGTTCGGAAAAGGTGGAATACGTTGTTTTTTCCGACTAGCAATGACATACATGTAGCTTCTGAAATGTAAAAAAATATATATTACAGAAAATAATTAAAATGGTTTACTTCCAGTGGTGTTATAAATCTAATTTCGACAAATGAAAGTGGATCTGTAATTGTCGAAATTATAACGGCTTGAGATTATCGTGTTGTAGAGTACACAGTTAAAAGTTAGGACAATGGTCCAAGCAGAGTCATAATAATATGGGTGTATGTGTAAAGGAAGGGGGAAAAACTACATTGAACAGATAAAAATAACTGGTTAAGCCAAAGGAAAGAAATACGACCTGCTATCAAGTAGAGAAAGAGCAAAAAACAATACATACATGTTTAATCATCCCATAAAATTATGCTGATAAACACAACAATCGGAGTGACAGGAAAGAAGTGCGACATGCTCTCAGAGCCAATCTATCTATCTGCGGGATAAACAAAAACACCAAAAAAGAAAAAATGAACAAGAGATTAAACCTTCTCTTTTCCAGTTTCTGTCACCGATGTCGAACAAAAAGAGTAGATATAAAACGTTACAAAATCGCTTGGCAGGATGACCATGTGATCGTTAATAACGTGTTTGGTCCTATCAACAGGGAACGCTGTGTGTCGTACGACAGATAATTATTTAACATAGTGACAGAAGTAGTAGGAGCAAACTGTTCTTACATAATAAACGTATTTTTAAAAAGTAGCTCGCTGTAGACTTGTGTTAGCCTGTACACCTCTTACTTTTTTCATGAGTACAGGCACGTACAAAGAACATTGTCACACACTGACGTTTAAGCACACACGCACGCACACACACACACACAAACACACACACACACACACACACACACACACACATAGGTAAACAGATAAAGAGATAGATAGATAGACCGAGAGGTAGATAGATAGATAGATAGATAGATAGATAGATAGATAGATAGATAGATAGATAGATATACAGTGCAACAAGGAGCATCCCATTTGTTTCAAAGTGATGATGCCCAAGTTTTGATATCGCATGGATAAGACCCACGGCGACTTCGAAGTTTAACTATATATAGCATTGTCCAATACTCCTATACGCAATGAGTTTAGTTTAAGTGTGTGGGGTTTTAAAGCCCCTATCAACACTATTATGCACAGAGGCAGGGCCTCCAAATTTAACTCCTGTCTCCGATAGAACCGAGTAAAACTAACCGAGAACCTTGAAAACACCACATTATGTCCCGTATTCAAGAACAGTTAATCTGGGATTTGAGCTAGGGCCATCCGTTGAGAAGTCCTTCTTGATACCAATTTAGCTATCGGAGCACTAAAATACGCGTTGATTTATGGTAGATATATTTATTTAGAATTAGAAGCTGTCTACCGTCGTTTTTCAATTTACAACGAATTTTTGTCAATTAATTCTTATAATTCTTTATTGGCGTCTCTGTTGTACACGTTATAAGCTTTGCAGCCGGACGCATGAAACCCAAATTCGATTTTCCAGGAGGGGGGGGGGGGTGGTGTGATGTTTATCGGATATCTCTGTCTTTCTGCAAGGAGGATATATCACGTACCGTGTTGGTTGTAGACAGGCAGGGTCAGAAGATCGCTTCTCGAATTATCTAAATTGTGACCATAAGGATGTTAAAACACCTACATGAAAACATATTTTTCTATATATTTTCCTTCCTCAGAACTAAAGCACGATGGTGGACAAATTATTTGGCTACTGGAAGTTGGAAAAGAATGAGAACTTTGACAAATACATGGTGGAGAATAGTGAGTTAAAGTGTCTGTTGGGGGGTGTAAAACATCTTATATAATAATATTGTGTTGGTGTGGGTGGAAATGTATGTATGCGTATATATATATATGTGTGTGTGTGTGTGTGTGTGTGTGTGTG